GCAAAAGATTAAATTAATTGTTGGGCATTATTGACGAAGAAATTGCGAGCTGATTTAGTTGAATTGGAACTTGTTAAAAAATATAAACAAATTATAAAATGAGGGGTTCAGTGCTCAGAAAATGATTTGTTTATTCCGAAAATTGAATTGTAATTTTTGCTTTTGTTACAAATATTTCGCATCTGTTGAACTTTGAATGTTGAAGACATGCGTGGAACAAATATGAAAAATGGAAGCAAAATTTACTTTGGAACAAAAATCTTAAGGCTTGTTTTATACCTAGTGGTGTCAATACTCTAAATTTAATAATTATTAACTATACATAAATCACACATATCAAATATAATAAGTTTTTTTTTCAATATTGTTCAAGAAATGTGTAATTTCTTTGCATTTTTTTACTGATTTTTGAACAATACTTCTAAAATACGTTAAAAATTTAACTTTAAAACAACAAGCTGATACTCTGGATATGACGGCTCTTACGATATCAATAAGGAGAAGTTTACGACGCAATTTTGGATATTGTAAATGATGAAAAATTAAATTAAATTAAAATTTAAAAAATCCAACATGAAATACGAGTGTTATGTTTGAAAATTAAATTCTTGTTTTTTTAACTTCCCGTTGGGTAAGTTATTGTAATGGGCCGAAAATCGGAATTGAAAATTTTCACATTTCTCGACGTTTTGAAGGTTTCTGAACATTATGGCATACCTCAGAAAAAATGGATGTGTGTGTGTGTATGTATGTATGTATGGATACAAATTTTCGCCCACATTTTCGGGCGTACGGATCAACCGATTTGAATGGTTTAAAAAACATTCGATTCCTATTGATAAGGAGATGCGCTGATTAGTTTTTGGTAGAGGCAGGTCCAGCAGGTACGGAGATAACGAGTGAAGAGTGCAAAAAATAGAAATCGAGTTTTTGAGAGAACGGAGCATCCGATTTAAATGATCTAAAAAACATTCAAATAGTAATGATTGGGGAAAGGGTTATTAGTTTTTCGCAAAGGCAGGCCCAGCCATTTCGGAGATACAGAGCTAAATGTACAAAAAATGGCAGTTTTTGAGAGAACTAAGCGTCCGATTCAATTGATTCAAAGAACTTTCTGCTTGTCTTAACAAATAATTGATTTTGGAAAAAAAAATTTTGTTTCATTTTTTTTTTTTTTTTTTTAAAATTTTTGTATATCGAAAATAATTCAGAATTTATTTTTAATTCTGACTATAGTTCTAATATACTTTAAACAAATAATTTGAACTTTGTAATTCAGTTTATATAATTCTTATAAATATTAGACAATGTTACAATATTTATAATAATCTATTTGAAAACATTCAATATTCCTCGAACATTTCGTTACGGTACGGAAAGTTCCAGCAATTTGCCTTAAGGCGCGATGCCACCCACCCCACTAGTTAAATATTAATATTGCACATACGTTAAAAATAATTGAAAATTTCAAAATACTTTATAATCAACCCCCGAATCGCCTCGATTTTCTAAATAAATTTAAAATCAGTATATTTTATACGCTTTTAGATTATATCTAATTTTTTGTGCATTAAATCCAGAATAAATAAAAATTAATCAATTTATTTCACTTAATATTTTTGTTGAATTAAAGTTATAGAATTTAAGAAATGCATTTCAGAAATAGTATTTATTATTTTGAGATCAAGATTTTTATATCAAAATAATAAATATTATTTCTGAAATGCATTTCTTAAATTTTATAACTTTAATCTAACAAAAATATTAATTCTTTTACTATGATAGTCGAACTTACATCCTTAACCAATTTACGACATATTGAATATTACTAAAATGTAAAATTCTGACAGGGATTGTTTTATTTATTGATATCGATAATAATAAATAAATTTAACATCAATATATTTTATACCATTCTAGATTATATCTAATTTTTTTGTACTAAATCCAGAATAATTAAAATTAATTTATAAAAATATGTCAATATTTATATAATTTTAATGATAAATTGTTAAAACGATGAAAATTAGTAGGAGGGGGGGGGGCGCTAAAAAAAAGTTGCATGCGGGCGCTAAGGACCCCAGGACCGGCCCTGTATATATATATATATATATATATATATATATATATATTAATATATATTAAAATATTCTATTCATGCTGAATATTTACTCATTACTCACTCCAGCTCATATTCGTCTACATAAGTTGTGAACAACTCAGTAGCGTTAACATTTAGGGTAACATTTCCTCGAGGGTTTGTACGTTGCTGTAACCTCCTTTCAGCCCTTTCCCGTGCCAGCCTTTCGTACTCTTCGCGAATTTCTGCCGGAGTCCTTGTTCGACTTACGATTTCCCATCCGTCTGTTTGTAAACCTTTTATACCTGGAAAAGATAAAAATAAATGAATTAGTGGTGTACGGAATCGTGCCTTAAGGTAAATTGCTGGAACTTACAGTACTATGATTTGAAATTTTTTAAAGCTTTAAAATTTTGAAAACATTAGATTTTTTTGAAGTTTTTGAATGTTTTTGAACATTTTTTATTTTTTGAGAATTTTGAAAAAAATTCGACTTTTTTGAAGAATATTAGATTTTTTAGACAATCTTGAATTTTTTTCAACTTTTATTTTTTGAAATTGAAATTTTGAAAAAAAAATTCGACTTTTTTTGAAAATTTTGAAGACATTTTTGAAATCATAAATCATGAATTTTTGAAGAAAAAAACGACTTTTTTAAATATTGTGAGAAATACTGAATAATTTTGAGGATTCTGAATTTTGTGGAACACTTTGTATTTTTAAAAAATTTTGAAAAAATCGCAAAAATCGACATTTTTGATAAATTGTAAATTTTTTGGCTTTTTCTTATCATTTATTTTAATAAAAATCAACATTTTTGATAAATTGTAATTTTTTTTTTGAAAATCTTGAAATTTTTAAAATATTTCTGTATTGAAAATTTTGAAAAAATTCGACTTCTTTGAAAAATTATGAATTTTTGACAAAGAAACAACTTTTTTGAAAATTTTGAATTCTTTTGAAGATTCTGAATTTTTTATTTTTTGAAAATTTTTGAAAAATGGACTTTTTGGATAAATCGTGAAATTTTGAAGAAAAAACGACATTTTTGAAAATTTTGAATTATTTTGAAGAATCTGTGTTTTTTAAAACCTCTTGTATTTTTTTGAAATTTTTGAAAAAATTGCAAAAATTCCAATTGAAAAAAAACTACTTTTTGGAAACTAAATTTTTTGGAAGATTCTGAAATTTTTGGAACATTTTGTATTTCTTGAAAATTTTGAAAAAATGGCAAAATTCCAAATAAAAAAAATCTAATTTTTTAAATTAATCAAACTTTTACAAATTCTGAAAAACTTCAAATTTTTGTAAAAAATCGACTTTTTTGAAAGTACAGCACATATTTTTTTTTATATCATGAAGTTCAAGCAACAAAGCAAAATTCCACTTACAACTAGTTTAAATTGTGTTTTATAAAAAAATCAACTTTTTGCGAATTGTGAAAACCTTTTTTTGAAGAAAATCGACATTTTTGAAAAATTGTATGTATTATTTTTAGGTTTATATTTTTTTATATCAGGAAGTTCATGCAACTTTAAATTGTAATTCATAATTTTTTTGGAAAAATCATGCAATATTTATGTTTTCATTTATTTATTATAAACCTATCAAGTATTTCACCATTTCACAATTCTGATTTCTTTATCTTTGCTAAAACTTGTCTACACACTTTAGTACATTTGTTTTAAAGGAGGACCTTTCAAAGTTAAATTTAAACGTTATTAAGTTCATAGTTTAACAAAAAGTCTTAATTCTAGAAAATTTGGAACAATTCTGTTAATATTTCAGACTATGTACCTATAAACTATAGACCATACCTAGAAATATTATTCACGGTTGCAATTCCAAAGTTTAGACAAACAAAATTAATACCACAATAACCAAAAAATGCTAGGTTCTACTTAGAAGCTCATAACTAAATGGAATAATTATTTTTTTAAGTTTTTCTTGACGTTGAGTTCTGGGACACCTTGTATATATACTAATAATACAATATATATTTTTCTTACCTAAAGAATCATATATAGCTCGTTTATGAGGATTCGACAGCACTTCATAAGCCTGTTTCGTCCTGTTGAACATAATTTCAGCCTTTTCTTTTTGAACTGCATCTTGATGTTTGTCCGGATGGAATAGTCGACTGAAATTTCTGTATGCACTGTTTATTTCCTCTGGGGTAGCCTGGGTAAAAAAAAATATATTCAGACTTATATAAGGAGTAAAAATGTGGACACAGTATATATATATATATATTCTATAATATATATATACATATATATATACATATATGTATATATATATATATATATATATTTATATATGTATATATATATAAATATTTATTTGGTTACATATAAGTTAACCGAAGACTACATCGACAGTTACAAACCTCATTATCAATATCAAATTTTAAATAAAAAATAAGTAGACTTGCTGGTTAAATTTTAATAACATTTTTGCAACATATATATTATAATTTTAATTAAATGCAAAAGAATAATGTGTGTCACAACAATGTTTTCTGCACCTGTCTACAAATTTCACTATGAAAAAAAGTGAGGTTATGTGCATGAAAATATCGATTCATAAACTAAAATCCACATCCACACACATAATTTGAACAAAAATAAAACCAAAATTTAATCACTATTCATATAAATAAAATATAAATTATATTTTATTATATTTTCTTTGAATTTTAAATCAAATTACCAAAACCTCATGCAGAAAAGATTGTGCAACAGTCCACTAAATTTTCTACTTACTGTCTTGGGTATATTTAGAAACGAGTAATAATTTTCTTCAAAGGAATTATCATCAGCATCTTCATCCATTGTATATAGTTTTATTTAAACTAATTTAATAAATTTTCATCTATTTCTAATTAATTTTATGTACAACATAACCTATACATTATATTTTAGCAATCACTCAAGTGCATGTAGACGTCAAATGAGAACTGTCATTCATGCATTTTGGAAATAATTAAAAAATAAATTTATTAATAATATATGATGGTAAATTGTTGTACAAAATATACTATGCATAATAAAGAACTATATAAAAATTAATATAAAGTTTATTTTATCATTTTATTAGTCCAAAAAAAATGATGTAATTTTGACACTTGTCAAGTTGACTTTCATGACCGTTATAATTTGAATTTGAATTTGGATACTGATTTGAAAATTAAAATAGATAAAGCGATATGATTTATAATGAACAACAGTTATTTTTATATTAAGTATACTATTTTTTATGTTTTTGTATATATTTTGCATTTGTGTCTTGAATATTCTACGTTTATTAATATTTTTCAGACTATTATTAAAACAATCATAATAAAATACAAAATGGTGAAAGTATAATTATAAGATATTATATTAGATTGATCCTTAATATGGACATTTTCAAATTTCTTTGATCCCAAGGGCTCAAATGCTTCCAAATTAATTTAAAAAAATTCTCCATAAGTTTTAGCTCTTAATATTAACATTTAGATAGTCCACAATTTAATTAAAAGTTTTGTATATCCATTATTAAGTAAATTCTTGCGCCAACTGTGATAGCATTTGTAAACTGAAAAATTATGACACTTAAAAATATTTATAAACCACTTAACCTCTAATTAAATCCATGTTGGCTGTTTCATATATTTATTCTTATATTATTATATATATTTATTCATCATTATTTCATTTATATATATTTATTCATTATGACATCAAAAATAATTTTTAAGCAAAATCTTTATTTAATTGATGATGTAGACACTCAAATTATCAGTAATAAATTGCCATCAAAATTACAAGTCTGCTATCACAGATGGCGCAAGAATTTACTTAATAATAATTATACGAAACTTTTAATTGAATCGCGGACTATCTGAATGTTGATATTAAGAGCTAAAATTTTTAGAGGGTTTTATTTATTAATTTGGAAGCATTTGAGCCCTTGGGAGCAAAGAAATTCGAAAATGTCCATATCAAGGACCACCCTAATATATATATGTATATATAATTATAAAAGCCAAAAGAAAAATAAATAAAAACAATTTATAATAACTTGATAATCAATTCTTCAAATTGTAATTTATGCCATTAACTTTTGATTTATGCAATAATATATGCTTAATATATATTTTTTCCAATTTCGCTTTATAGATTTTTTAATACATTTATTTAAAATAATTATTTAAATAAAATAACATGTACTTTATTTTCATCAAATTAATTATTCTTATATATTATATTAGGTTGAAAAATTCGGTAAGTCTAACAATCAATAAAAGAACTTTGCAAAATATTCAAAACACATTTGTTTCATTTATTTTTATAAAAATATTATGGCTTTAAATTTTAAATTAAGTATTCACATTTTAAATTATGTAATAAATTTGAAAATTCGTTGAATTCTAGATAGTTTATAACTATTTCAAGTAGATTATAAATAGGTTCAAAATTGAATCTTATTAGATCCCAACCAGACCCTAAAGAGATTCTAACAAGATTTTTAGCAGATTTATACCAAATTTCCATTACATTCTTATCAAAATCATTTTGGCGGAATTTTTATTAGATACTAGTTTCCCACAAAATTCTTAACACATTCTCATAAGGTTCATACCAGATTTCAATAGAACCCTTACTTATAAGTTTTTTTTACCAGAATCTTACTAGATTTGTGTCGAATTCATATTAGATTCTAGCCAGGATGTTATTAAATTCGCATTAGATTTTTACCAGCTAGTTGGTTCCATTATATTTCCTTCAGATTTTCACCAGAAATTTATAAGATCCGTACTGGATTCTAAATCGATTCTGTAAATTTCTTGTTAAATTAGATTCTTGTCAGATTCTCATAAAAATTATATTAATATTGTCCATTCTTTATTTTTTCCTAGTAATAGTAATATTGTTCAATTAAGTAATATATATATATATATATATATATATATATATATATAATTTTAATATTCTGTAATTTGAATATAATGAATTATCAATAATAATATTAATTATTCTGGTTATTTAATTATATATAAACCTTTTAATTACCAGAATCTGATTAGATTTTTAACACAACCATATCAGATTTTTAGAAGAATATAAATTCTTACCAGAAACTTCATTCTTACCAGAATTTTGATTTTTACCAGAATATTACACTTGCCCACCAAAATATGATTTCTTATTAGATTCTTATTTAATTCTTACTAGATTCAAATTCTTATTCTGATTAAGTGCTTCTCACCAAAATCTTATTGAATTCTTGCCAGAAATTTGTTAGATTCATACTCAATTCATACAATTCTCGTAGAATAAGTTATTGCAATGGGCTGAAAATAGAAAATGAAAATTTTTGCATATCTTTACGTTTCAGAGGTTTCTGAACATTTAGCATACCTAAAAAAAAATGAATGAGTGTGTGTGTGTGTGTATGTGTGGATACAAATTTTGTCGACGTTTTCGGGCGCACGATCAATCGACTTGATTGGTTCAAAAAACATTCTATTCTTATTGATAGGGAGGTGTGATGATTAGTTTTAGGCAAAGGCAGGTCCAGCCGTTACAGAGATACGGAGCAAAGAGTACAGAAAATTTAAATCGAGTTTTTGAGAGAACGGAGTATATTTGAATGATCTAAAAATCATTCAGTTCATAATAATTGGGAGAAGTGGTGATTAGTTTTGGCAAAGGCAGGTCCAGCCGTTTTGGAGATACGGAGCTAAATGTGCAAAAAATGGCAGTTTTTGAGTGAACTAAGCGTCCGATTTGGATTATTCAAAAAACTTTCGGCTTGTTTTGATAAAAAAAAAATTATTTTTCATTTTTTCCTAAGTTTATTACCTTCTAATACATTTCTGAACAAAACTCATAAAACAGTACAATTTGCATTACAATGCATCCAATATATGTAAATCCGTAAATTTATTTATTCATTCTGTAAGCTATTAATGTTGTTTTTGTTCTGAATACAACTTGTATTAAGTTTATTAAATTCTAGGCCATAGATATTTAATTAATTCGATAGTTCAAAATACCAATTACAAATTCAAATTTTTTGCAGACAAAATGAGGAATTACAAGTCTAACATCAGAAATTTGAAATTCAATATGTTGAATGCACTTTTGTAATAAATAAATGGTAATTATTCCTTTTAGTTACGTAGTTTAAGATATATATTACACAAAATTATAACAGACAATGTTATAGAATTTTGAAAGTAGTAAACAAAATAATATAATAAGTACAATGTTTGTATCTTTTTAATATAACTATTTATCCAGACTTGTAAGTAATTCATATAATATATTTCTGCACCAATGTATCGAAACTAAAAAATATATTTTTATTAATTTGAATTTTTACCAAAAACTTGTTTATAAAATAAGTTGGATTACACAAAAACTTTAGTTTTAGTATTTCACCCTCAGTGTATGTGTTAACAACAACAAATATTAATTAAAATTTTCTTTATTAATTATTTTTTTAAATTTTTATTCAAAATTTATTACATTTTCCACTTTGCACGTGTACCGGTACAAATTCGATTAAATAATAATTAAATGAAGTTCTGTAAAAAACTGTTAGCATAATTATATTGTTGTAAGTAAAATTTTCCAAAAAATTTTGACAAACATCATTTGAATACAAAAACTTTTATTATTATCTTACTTTTTCAAAAACAATGAATGCGCTTTTTATGTAAAGTGGCGGGAAAATTTGAGAATGATTTAATTAAATGAATTAGAGCATTGTAGAACATTTTTAAATTAAAGTAATAATAAAAAAATATTATAAATTTATAATTGTTTTATAAATGAAAAAAATTTGATTAATTATGAAAGTTTGTAGATAAAATTGTTTACAACAAAATTGCTAACAAATTAATATTTTGCAAGAGTTATCCATAACCGCGATTTAAAATCTTGTAATTTAAATAAATTATAACTAAATATGTCTATAATAACAACAAATACTAAAACTGATGACTTTGTTTTAGTGACAAAAAATATTTACGATTTTTTGAAAAAAGTACTCCATATACCACAAGTGTTAAATTTGTACTATGTTTATATTCAAAAAAATCTACAGGTCGCACTGTTTGTACTATAACCTTGTAATTTAAATATATTATAACTAAATATGTATATTTTGACAACAAATACTAAAATCGATGACTTTGTTTCAGTGACAAAAAATATTTACGATTTTTTGAACAAAGTATTTCATATACCACAAGCCGTATATGATGTACTATGTTTTTATTCAAATAATTCTACAGGTCGCACCGTTTGTACTACAACCTTGTAATTTACATATATTATAACTAAATATGGGTATAATAACAACAAATACTAAAATTAATGACTTTGTTACAGAAACAAAAATTACTTACGGTTTTTTAAACAAAGTACTCCAAATACCACGAGCCGCATATGATGTACTATGTTTTTATTCAAAAAATTCTACAGGCCGCACCGTTTGTACTACAACCTTGTAATTTACATATATTATAACTAAATATGGGTATAATAACAACAAATACTAAAATTAATGACTTTGTTACAGAAACAAAAATTACTTACGGTTTTTTAAACAAAGTACTCCAAATACCACGAGCCGCATATGATGTACTATGTTTTTATTCAAAAAATTCTACAGGCCGCACCGTTTGTACTACAACCTTGTAATTTAAATATATTATAACTAAACATGTCTATAATAACAACAAATCCTAAAATTGATGACTTTGTTCCGGTGACAAAAAATATTTACGATTTTTTGCACAAAGTACTTCAAATTCTCCAAGACACAAATGATGTAAAATGTTTTTATTCAAAAAATTCTACAGGTCGCACCGTTTGTACTACAACCTTATAATTTAACTAAAACATACTTTATTAATTCTATTTTAAATACAAATACTAAAATCGATGGCATTCTGTTTGCATCAAAAGATATCGTCAATGAATTGAATAAAGTACATCAAAATTTTGTACAAACACATGCGCTTTACCTTTACTTCATTTGTAGTTGTTCGCGCTGTCCATAGAGTGCGCCACTAACTGTAGCACGTAAATTTACCCTCGGGTTTAAATTCTAGATAAGTTTTCTATAAGTATCTAATATACAAAAGATAAACCTGGTTAACTAGAATAAATCATTATTTTTTTTAGTTTTTTTTATTTCCCTAGGCCCGTTCCCCGGCCACCTCTGTTTCTCTTCCGATCAAAGTTGTTTTTGTAGTATGAGTCGATTTCGAAACGTTTGCATTTTTTTATAAATTCTACGGAAAAGATCACAATCAGTTTAAAGTTTAAAGTTATCGAAAGCAGTGACCCCGTTCTTCCTACAAAAACCCAAAAAAAATCTTAAAAATAAAAATGAATTTAACAATACCGGAATTTTATAAGGACAAAGTTGTATTTATAACCGGAGGAAGCGGTAAGTAATAAATTAAATATTATATTATTCGAATATTTTTAATAAATCAAATTTCTAGTAATTAATGTACGGTATATATATATTTATGTAAATTTGTAAAAAGAAAACTTTGGAGTACTTTGTCCAGAAAATCACAAATATGTTTTGACACCAGAAAAATTACAATAATTTTCACATTTGTTTTTAAAATGAATACATTTACTAATAATATTTATAAAAAATGAAAGTTCTAGTACAGATCGTCTTCAAGTGCGAATTGAAAAGAACATCATCCCTAAAAATATATTTTATGCTCGACAAAAAACGTCGGAAAAAAGTGCCTTAATTTACGATAATTGCAATAATTGTTCTAATCACATTTTTATATTTTTAGGATTTTTGGGCAAAGCTTTGATAGAAAAACTTTTAAGATGTTGTCCAGATTTGAAGACAATGTACCTTTTAGTAAGGGAAAGAAAAGGCATGAAGCCCCAGGAAAGGGTCAAACAAATCCTGAACAACGGGGTAAAAATCTTAACTTCCAACATTTAAAAAAAATCCAAAATTCTAATTAATTATTTTATAATAAAAATATTTGAAAATTAGAATAAACTCTATATTATTTTTTTGTAGATTTTCGATGTAATAAGACAAAACAACCCAGAAGCCTTAAATAAAGTAGTCGCAGTTTCAGGAGACGTGAGCGCCCTACAATTAGGCTTAAACGAAGACGATAAAAAATTAATTTTGACCTCTAATATAGTATATCATGTTGCTGCAAGTGTCAGGTAAATAGAAAAAAAAATTAAAACTGGTGGTGTATGGCATCGTGCCTTAAGGCAAATTGCTGGAACTTACCGTACCGTAATAAAATATTCGAGAAATTTTGAACGTTTTCAAATATATTATTACAAATACTGTAACTTTCATTATTTTTGCTATCTTGTTTGTTATATCTGAGCAAATGAAATGTAAATCATACATAAATCAATTTTGCTCCAGAACATTAACAATCGTCAGTTCATTTCGAATTCAAATTAAAAAAAAATAGTTGCCTAATTTACACAAAATTGAAAAATTGCTCCCGTATAGTCACAGTCTAAATGCATTTGCAAATAATTCTGTGCGACATTTTCACTTATACTGTGCCTAGCTTGGCGGCATTTTCACATTTTTCAATAGTTTTCACAAAAGTGGAAAAGTGAAAGTCTAAACGCACTTGGGTAAACATTTGTACCAGAGTGGCGCTTAGACTGTGCTTAGCCTGGGTCATTTTTTGAATTTTTAATCCAAAATTACAAAAATATTTTTTGAAAAAAAAAAATAGAAACAACAATTTTTTCCGAAAGCAATTATTTTGTTCAAACAAGAATAAAGTTCTTTGAATCAATTAAATCGGACGCTTAGTTCTCTCAAAATATGCCATTTTTTTAACACTTAGCTCTGTATCTCCGAAACCGCTGGGCCTACCTTTGCCAAAAACTAATAACCACTTCTCAATAAACATTTGTACCAGAGTGGCGCTTAGGCTGTGCTTAGCCTGGGTAATTTTTTGAATTTTTAATCTATAATTACAAAAATATTTTTGGAAAAAAAAATTAAAAACAAATTTTTTTTTTCCAAAAGCAATTGTTTTGCTGAAACAATTGCAGAAAGCAGAAAATTCTTTGAATCATTTAAATCGGACGCTTAGTTCTTTCAAAAACTGTCATTTTTTAACATTTAGCTCTATATCTCCGAAACCGCTGGGCCTACCTTTGCCAAAAACTAGTAGTGAATGTTTTTTGTATCATGCAAATCGGATGATCCGTTATCTCAAAAACTCGATTTCTATATTCTGCACTCCTTGCTCCATATCTCCGCAACGGCTAGACCTGCCTTTGCCAAAAACTAATCAGCACATCTCCCTATCAATGGGAATTAAATGTTTTTTGAACCATTCAAATCGGTTGATCCGTGCGCCCGAAAATGCGGACATACAAAACACTTTAAAAAATATATTATCATTTAAATCGGTCGCTTAGTTCTCTCAAAAACTGCAATTTTTTGCACATTTAGTTTTGTATCTTCGAAATGGCAGGACCTGTCTTTGTCAAAAACTAATAGCCACTTTTCCCCGTCATTACAAACTGAATGTTTTTTGGATCATACAAATCGGATTATCCATTCTCTCAAAAACTAGATTTTCATTTTCTGCACTCTTTGCTCCATATCTCCGTAACGGCTAGACCTGCCTTTGCCAAAAACTAATCAGCACATCTCCCTATCAATAGGAATCGAATGTTTTTTAAACCATTCAAATCGGTTGATCCGTGCGATCGAAAACGTGGACGAAAAAATGCGGACATACAAAACACACACACACATCCATTTCTTCTGAGGTATGCCCCTTAAAAATGTTCAGAAACCTTCAAAACGTCGAGCAATGCAAAAATTTTCATTTTCGATTTTCGGCCTATTACTATGACTACCCTACGGGAAGTTAATAAAAAAAAACTTAATTCATTTATCATTTACACAAGTTCTCCAACTTTTGTAATTTTCCTCAGATTCGATGACCACATAAAAAAGGCAACCCTGATGAACACTCGAGGAACCAGAGAAATCCTAGAACTGATGCTCCTGATGCCAAATTTGGTGGTAGGTGTTCACGTATCTACCACATATTGCAACACCGATAAACCAGTCATCGAGGAAAAAATGTACAGAGACCACGGAGATTGGAGGGAAGCCATCAGGGTTGCGGAAGAGTTCGAAGATGATTATCAAGTGTCGTGTTTAACAGAAAAGTATGATAAAAATTGATCATAATTTGTTCATTGGAAGGGTAAATAATGTATGTGTTGGTTTTAGGTGTCTTGGAGGTTTGAAGAATACTTATGTCTACACAAAACATTTGGCAGAAAATGTTGTGGAAGACTACAGTGATAGACTGCCTTTGGTTTTGTTCAGACCTGGTGTAGGTAAGAAAAATACTTAAAATACTAGTTAATATAAAATGATGTAAGTGGCAATATGAAACTAGGTTCAAGGACATATACAGTGTATATCCTAAAGGCGCGTGCTATTTTTCCTTGATATATTTTAATAATTCGATAACTTTTTGTATGACTATAATATTTTAAGATTTTCTTTCAGACATTAAATTCTATCTCTATTATAACCGGCAATTGTATAAATTGTTGGCACATAATATTGTTGGCAATTGGCAAAAAGCTACTGAAGCCAACAATATTATATATATTAGGTTGTCAAATATCTCCCTTCCGCTTTTTTGCTCTTTGTTACATACAAAAAGGCGGAAGGGAGATATTTGACAACCTATTATTAACACTTGCCGAATTCCGAGATTTGTATGAATGAAGGCATCCGAGTCGAAAGGGTTGAAATATTAAAATATGTGTATACTTCTAGTTGTTTCGACTTGGAAAGAACCAATCGAAGGCTGGAACGACAATTTGAATGGACCCATGGCTTTATATATTGGAGTAGGAAAAGGTATGAGATATATATAATAAGACTAGTGATGTATGGCATCGTGCCTTAAGGCAAATCTCCCGTACCGTAATAAATAAAATAGATTATTATAAATTCTGTATTATTTCTTAAAATATATAAGTGAGCTATAAAACTTTAACCAGAATTAAAATTGAAATCTGAATTACTTTCGATATGAAAAATTGAAAATAAATTGATTTTTTTCCCCAAAAGCAATTGTTTTGCCAACACAAGCAGACAGTTTTTTGAATTATTCAAATCGGATGCTTATTTCTCTCAAAAACTGCAATTTTTTGCACATTTCTGTTGGAATCAAGTTAGTGTCTAGAAAGAAACTGAAATTCAAAAATATATTTAAAAAAATGCAGTAAGAAGTTTCATGTTTAATGAGTTAAATAAAAAATCTAACTAAATTCTAAGAAGAATCTAGCAAGATATAGTTAGAGTGTAATAAAAATGAAAGAGAACCTAATAAGTTTCTGATAAAATTTAATGGAACCTAATACAAATCTAATTAGACTCTTATTAGGTTCGCACCACTCGTTTGGTAGATTATAACTTCTTCTTATTATATAACAAAATTCTAGTGAGAATTCAATAAGAATCTAGTAGAAATTTAATAAGAATCTTCTAGAGATTTTTAAAAATCTTCTATGAACCTCTTATGAACCCTTTCATGAAATATTTTTAAAATCTTATGAGAAACTAGTATAAAGAAAATCCAGTAAAAATCTGAAAATATTTTGCTATCTAAGAGAAATCTACCATGAATCTTATAAGAATTATGTCAAAGTGTCATAACAATCTAGTTTAAAACTGGTTAGGATACACTAACGTGAATCTGCCAGGAAACTCATAAAAATTCTATCGGAATCTTAGAAGAATCTAGTTGGGATCTAGTAGGAGTCTCAAGTTAGAACCTAATTAGTTAGCATCTGCCTAAAAATAGTTGGAATTTATTTAGAATTTACTTGGCATCTGAATTCAAGATTCAAGCCGGCTTTAACTTATAACCTTTTTACAATTTCATAAATTAATCTTAAAAAAGCTAATGAGCGTAATTCCCAAATGATATATATCAAACGATTTTTCATTTTCAACTTTCGATTTTCACTTTCCAGATGTTTCTTAACATTTTCGCACACCTTAGTTAATTTTTTTTTAATTATAATATTTATTACAATTGTTAAATAATATAACATCTAGTAATAAATCTTATTTAAAATGAACTTGTGTATGTGTGTATGTAGTATGTATGGATACAATTTTTCGTCGACATTTTTGGAAGCACCGAGTCAACCGATTTTATTGATTAAAAAAACATTCGATTCGTTTTGATAAGGAAATGTGCTGATTAGTTTTTGGCAAAGGCAGGTCCAACAGAGCGAAAAAAGCAGAAAATGAAATTTAGGTTTTTGAGAGAACGGAGCATCCGAATTGAAGGATTACAAAAACATTCCACTTGTATTGATCTAATTAATAATTGATTAAATTTTAGCATAGACAGGTTCAGCGATTCGAAAATAAAGTAAAAAAGTGACGAAGCATCTGTCGATAAACAGATATTTTGTAACTAGAATCTTACAGGAACATGTTTTTTTTTTCAAAAAAAAAAAATTCTAGTTTTAAAATAATTTTAAGTTTCAAAAATATCAGTATTTTCTAAAAAAGCAATTTTTTCAATATACAAAGTTTTCAAAAATGTTAAAAAAATTTAAAATTCGCAAAAAATTTAGTTTTTCTTTTTTTAGCTTTTCAACATTTCAAATTACGGTAAGGTAAGTTCCAGCAATTTGCCTTAAGGCACGATGCAATACACCACTAGTTATTTTATTTTATAGTAAACAAATAGAAAATTAAGAGAGCAATATTTTGCAGGAATCCTGAGAACTATATATAGCAAATGGGATTCATATATGGACTACATGCCCGTGGATATGGTCACCAAAGCTTTGGTCATTAGTAGTTGGATAAAAATAGCCAAACCGTAAGTAATAAATCAATTACATCAATTTTAATTCTTTCAGCATATCATAGAGACCGCCACCGACCGTGTCAAAAAAGATATATTTCAAAATATAAAATTTGGACTTGAACGTTTAAAGTACGTGTACTATATCTAGAGAAACTGTTCTTCATAAAACAAACACCGAATTTGAAGCACACTGGCGCCATCTGTGATATGCTTAAAACACTCATACAGAGTAAAGCGCATTTGTTCTACGTTTACCTCCTATGTATATGGCCCAATTTAAAGAGTATATGGCGAAAAACCTAACTAATTGCAACCCAACAAATAGCATATATGAAACAAACATTTATCTGACTATGTTCAGTGAAACTCCCAGCTAATTCATCATTGTAGAAATGTATTTTTTTTGCTGTTTTTCAAAAATTTGTCACCTCGTCCTTTTTTACACCATAGGGACAACCAGGGTGCAAACAGAACCAAAATCTTTGTTTTATTTTAAAGTTATTTTACCAAATAGTAGCTACGTTATTCAACCAATGTAAAATATAAATTTTATGGGTACACGTTTTACACTGCCAACACTGTATATAACCTTGATCTGGTGTTTTGTCAGAAATATCCATCAGCATAGTTGGAACAACTATTTATTCAAATCATCTCTTGCATTTTCTGCAAATTGCATTTTTGAACTAAATTTACTTTTATATCTACTATTTTTTATTGTTTACACTTTTGTCAGGGTAAAGGGTTTAGTTGTTCCTTTTTACCCGATCGAGGTATAAACTTTTATACAGGTTATATAAAACAAACTGTTGAATCTAACCCAAAATTAACAATACATCTTATTAAACATTTGAATTATGTAGACTTAAAAATTATATTAAGGTCTCGTAAACTAAACAATAGTGCTCACGACCAAAAAAATCAACAACGCAAGAAAATACTTTTGTTCTAAAGTTTCAAACTTAGCCGTTTATTTCGTGATATCGACGTCGTAAGAATCAAGGCGTTGGCTGGTGACACATCTTTTACCCTCTACTTTCAAATATTATTTTAAAAAATTCCTAACCTTACTTGTTTTCAACCAAAAAAATCGAAAATGAATTTTTAGCATATCTTTATGTTTCAAAGGTTTCTCAACACTTTGGTATACCTTAGGAAAAATCGATGTGTGTGCGGATACAAATTTTCGTGGACGATTTCGTGAACTTTTTGCCCTCTACTTTAAAATAGTATTGATCAAAACTACCATAATTTACGTTTCTGAAGTAATGATGGTGGATTTTTTTAAAAAGTGTCTGTAATTTTTTTTCTAGTGTTCCGAACGAATTGCTACCAGTTTACAATTGTTCAGTTTCCGGAAAGGCTGACTACAACCAGGTGGACATGTGCAATGTAGGATTTGATGTTTTTTCTAAGAGGCCCTTAAATGATTGTGTTATGCACCCTGTTGCAGATATTGTTTCCAACGAGTTTGAATTCAGGATAAAGGTAAGAAATAGTTATCAGTGGCATTTTGCCAGTTGCATGAACTTCTCCCGATACGTATACATAATTAATAAGAATTGAGATTCAGCTATTTAGGCAAAATTGTTCAACTGTTTATATCGATAATCAAATTTTTGCGTGCACTAAAAAATAATTAATACGATTTTCAAATGTTGTCAAACAAACTTATATTGTCTGTAAATGTATCAAAGACCTCACACTATGTAGACTGCTAGTCGAGCGCGACTTAAGTGCAAAAAGATGTGACGTCACTGAGTGAACGAGCGTTGCCGACAATCGTGGAAACTCCCGATTGATTAAATGCCATATGCATAACCTTATAATATGTAAATAAATTTTAACGTGGTTTCGATTTTATGCACATTTATTTCACAACGGCAATATTCTTAGATCATGAAGTTAAAATAAAATTTTTAATTTTATTTATTAGGCATTTTTTAAAGGTTAGCATAAGATATTTTTTCATGTTATGATTTTTGACTAGATTATTTATTAACGTCTCGTAGAGTAAGTTATTGTAATTGAAAAATTAAAATTAAAAAAAATTGCATATCTTTTGAAGATAACCTCAGAAAAAATAAATGTACCTGTTTGTGTGTTTGTATGTATGGAAACAATTTTTCATTCACGTTTTTGGACGCACGAATCAACCGATTTGAATGATTCAAAAAGCATACGATTCCTATTGATAGGGAGATGTGCTAGTTTTTTGCAAAGGCAGGTCCGGCCGTTTGGGATATACGGAGAAAGGAGTGCCAAAAACGGTGATTCAGTTTTTGATAGAACGCTATTTTAGTACGCTATTTCTATTTCAATCAATTTCTATATCAATATTTAATTACAAAGAAACGGCCCGGCCGATCTTTACCAAATAATCAACGCCATTCCCAATCAATATTTTGGGAAACGTGGACAAAAGAATTCACCCTTTTTTCAAAGAAACGGCTCGGCCAATCGTCGCACAAATCTGAGAAAAAGGTCAACGAAAAATCGATTTTTTTTTTCAAAATTTGGTCTCAAACGCTTCAGAATGACATGAGACTTTGAAAAAACAAACATTTACAAGTCATATTTTCTGGCAAAAACATAAAATTCTCCATCGTCAAGTTATTAAAGCTAAAGTAAAAAATAAGTGATTAAATGAATAACATAAAAACTACTGAAATTAATATAAAACTAGTTGTGTAAGGCATCGTGCATTAAGGCAAATTGCTGGAACTTCCCGTACCCTAAACATTTTTAGATTTATTCCCAGTTTCAATTAAATTTTTAATGTTGATTATTAATAACCTGAAGTCAATATGTTTAAAATCTCCTAAAAAATAATAATATGAAGCAAACTTTACAAATGATCAAAATCAGCTTAAATGACATCGTATCAAAAAGTGTTTATCCGTACATACATACATACACATACACAATACAAATATTTTTATTAAAGAATGTTAAATTGAACAATATAATAACTAAAGATACTAAAAATACAGTTAGTAATTTTAATAAATAATTTTTTTTTTGTTTCAGTTCATACTATTTAATTTTTTACCCGCCTTCTTCTTGGACACCTTGTTGAAATTAACAGGAAGAAAACCAATGTAAGAAATAACACGAATAATTAATAAACATAAGATAATTAAATATTTTATCTAATTATTTTTTAACAGATTGTTAAGAGTAATGAGAAAAATCTACATGGCATTGATGGCCGTCGCCTATTTCTCTATTGAAAAATGGGTTTTCAAAGCTGAGAGAATGTGGGCCTTGAATGAAAAATTACACGAATCAGACAAGTGAGTAAAATTTTTGAATATTAAAAAAATATTAAATAACTTTCTAAAATATGCTATCCACAATGATAGAAGACTCTACAAAATAATTTTTTTGGAAAATTTCAATCCCAAAAAAACATTTATTAAACGACTAGTAATAATATTAAATTCCTGTTACAACCTTTTCAAATGTATATGCCAATCGTTACAAAATTATTACAAAGCAGGAGGGTAGATCCTGCCCTTAATTACTAATATGTTAAGTTTTAACTTAAATATCATTTTATGTTACACTATATTTCTTTCTAAATTTAATTTCTAATTTTTTTTAATTACAATATTTGTTACAACTGTTAAATAATTTAACATCTAGTTACAATGATGAACAATAACATAAATTTAAATAAAAAAGAGTACAAAATGAAGGATAGTATTTTCATTAAAATGATATCCGTAGTATGATGATTTAATATAAAATAAAAGCAAATAATAATAAAAATAAAATTAATAAATAAAATAAATAAAATTTCTGAATAATAAAATAATACTAGAAAAACAATAAAATATAACTAAATAACAAATTCAAAATTTGAACTTATTTTTCAGAAAATATTTTTCGTACAACTTCGATGATTTTGACATGGAAGATTATGTCATGAAGGCTTTGATAGGTCTTAATAAATATGTTATGAAAGAACCCGAAGACATACCAAAGGCCATTAAACAATACAGAAGGTAAAATTTTATAATATATATATACATATATATATATATATATATACACAATTTACCATAAACATTAATATTAATATTATGTTTTTTAGAAATGAATTGGTGTACCACGTATGTTCATACATAATTTATGGAATTTTAATATACTTTATAGCAACAAATAGGTGAGTATCTTTTAAATAGTATGTCAGCCCTATTAGATAAATTCTAATAATAAAAAATCATTAACCATTGAGTTACCATATAAGAAAACGAAATAAGAAGTTTCAGCTCAACAGCTTATAGGACTTAAGGTTCTAATGTTAAAAATTTATAATAAAAAAATCTTTTAAATAAATGCTTACGGTAAAACTTTTATGACATCTTACTTTTATCTCGTTTGATAGATTGATTATATTTTATTTCATTTATTTAATTAATTAGTATAATTCGTTTCATTTTCAGTTACGTAAGTTCTGCCTTCAAAACAGTTTTGAGTACCATTTCTACAACTGTTAAATAGATATTAAGGCTGTGATTAATTATTAATTATAATTAATTATATATTAAATTATATATTTTTTATATTATTATTAAATATGTTTACGATTAATAATTTATTTATTAAAATATATTTATATTTAGCATTTATATATCAACTGCATTTTATATTTAGTTATGTAGATATTAAATTTATCTAAGTTTTAGATTATGAATTTAATGTTCATTAAGTTGTATTATATAATAATAAAAAATATGATATTTAATATTGCTGAAATTTGAGTATTTTGTTCATTAAGTATATGAAACTATTTTCGATATGCAAAAAAATTGTAGAAAATTAAAAAGAAAAATAATTTCAAATGTAGAAAGATTTTTTTTTCTCAAACAACACAACCAGAAAGTTTTTTAAATCATTCAAATCGGATGCTTAGTTCTCTCAAAAACTGTATTTTTTTCTACATTTAGCTCTGTATCTCCAAAATGGCTAAACCTGAGTTTGCCAAAAACTAATCACCACTTCTCCCAATCAATATAAATCGAATGTTTTTTTAATCATTCAAATCGGATACTCTGTTCTCTCATTAACGCGATTTGTGTTTTCTGCACTCTTTGCTCCGTATCTCCGAAACGGCTGGACCTGCCTTTGTCAAAAACTAATCGGCACATCTCCCTATCGATAGGAATAGAATGTTTTTTGAACCATTCAAGTCGGTTGATCCGTGCGTCCGAAATCGTCGACGAAAAATTGTATCCACACATACACACATATCCATTTTATTTAAAAGTATTCCAAAATGTTCAGAAACTTCTGAAACGTGAAGATATGCAAAAAATTTTAATTTTCGATTTTTTGGACGATTACTATAATTTTGGAAAGTTGATATAATTAAAATGAGATCATTTATAATTTAGTCATCAATTATTCTAATTATTATTATCAACCTTGGGCGTTGATTAAATAAATAAATGAATAAATATATAAATTATTAATAATAAATAAAATTTATTATTAATTATAAATAAATTTCTCTACTTTTTCGTAAAAAACGTTTTTATTTTAAATTGTTCTTGATCTATTTTATTAAATATAAAAATAATATTTTGTTAACATATTTAGGTAGTTTTTCCTATTTTCAATAAAGTTATTTTGTGAAAAAAGTGTATTTAAAAAAAATATCAAAAATAAAGTTCAGTTCATAAAGTGGATTGCAATGATTCTCAATATATTAATAAAAGAATGAACAAACATATTTATAATTTAAAAAATCCAAAACTCTTTGAATTATATGACTAACTTTAAACTTTTAATATAAAACCTAAAATCTTATAATTCTATCATTCTAAAGAAAAAAAAACTAAAAAGAATTTAGAAGACTTGCCAAATCTTGATTTATTAAACTAAATTATTTAAGAGTATTTAAGTGTAGTTCTTCTTATATAATTTTTATAAATATTCAAGATTTCAATAACATTAAATCTGATTTATATCTTAATATTAAACCTCACTTCTTCAGTTTTTTATTTTATAGTTTTTGACACTTCAGACTGTCAATTTTTATGCCAAAAAGGCTGTAATTTTCATACAAGATATTATCAACTTTAATTTTGTATTTTCAACACTTTTACTGACACACATCTAGTGCCGAAACGTATAAATACATAAAAAATGGTGTATTGCATGTTTTGATAATATATAATGTGGGTGAATTTTAATGGTATAAGAGTAGTTTAAATTAAAAAAAATTATATTGAACGAAATGTACAAATATCAAATGTCTGAAGTAACGTAATTAATTTCATGTTGTGCCTTAATATTGTTCAGTAAAATTGTGTTGATATATTATATTATTATTGTGTATTAAAACGTGTTGAAAAAAGTATATATCCAAAATTTTCAATCATCTAATTGTGTTCCCACATCACTCAAGTAATTAGATAAATTTTCGTAAATTAGCTGAATGAAGACATACATCGAGTGTCGAACCGTTAAAATAAATTTAAAAAATCTATTTAATAAGCGTTAAATTAACACACACACACATACAAATAAATATATATATATATATTAGGGTGGTCCTTAAAACGGTCAATTTGGAATTTCCTTACTCCCAGGGGCTCAAATGGTTCCAAATAGATAAAAAAAATTCTCTGAAAGTTTTAGCTCTTAATATTAACGTTTAGATAGAGCGCAATTCAATCAAAGTTTTATATGGAAATAGCATGGAAAAATTTTCAAAAAATTAAAAAATATTTTTTAGATGTAATTTAGCGAACAAATGAATTAGTAAAACTCATTCATTTGTCGTTATTCGAAGTTATACCTAAAACATTTTTTTTATTTTCAAATTTTTTTCCATGCTCTTTCCATACGAAGTTTGATTGAATTGCGCTCTATCTAAACGTTAATATTAAGAGCTAAAACTTTCAGAGAATTGTTTTTTATCAATTTGGAATCATTTGAGCCCCTGGGAGCAAGGAAATTCGAAAATGACCATTTAAGGACCACCACCCTAATATATATGATATATATATATATTAGGTTGGGCCGAATCATTATTGTAGTAAAATTAAGCGATATGGGCACCTTTTCATATGAAATATATGTGTTATTTAAATGAATTTTGACTTCAAAACCATATATCGCAAATAACTCTTTAGCCAGCGAAATTTTCAATAAAATACTGTTTTTAATAAGTTAATATATTAATTTAGGCATGTGAATAATTCAAATTGTGACTTATATTTTAATTGATAGTTTGTACGGGGGTTTTTAAATCGGGTTTAGTTTGTTGTTATTTATTTCATCAGAGTGCGCTAGTATTTTTTATTATAATTCTCGAAGTTTCGAAAAGAATATATTAATGTGAAAAACTCGCATTAATCTTCATTCAGTTCTCCAGTTAGACGTGAAGTATCAATGGCGAATTCTTATTTAAATTCAGGCGCAAGTGCCAGTAATTTGAATCATATGCGCTCGCATGATCAAATTACATTTGGGGAAGCAGGAGAATTTACTGGTGTAAATCTTCCGACAAGTATGGAAATTATCAGGTATTATTTTTATTTGGCCGAAGAATCAAAAAACAAAATAAAATGTTTTCATATAAAACATTTACTCCAAATGTGGTAACGAAATTGATTCAGACGTGGGAAAAAATTGATATTCCAATTATGGAGAAACGAAGTATCGCTAGAAAATTGAACCGATTGATTGATAAATATAAAAGTACAAATAAAAGCAAGTCTACCCAAGCATCATTTCAGGAGTTTGTAGAATCCACGAAAGAATTATTTTATATTGGAAAATGCAAATGCGATTTGCGAAGAATACTGTGTTCCTGCGGACTGATCCCAGCACACTTACAAGCGTTTATGATGGATCAACATAATGAGAGGAAATCTACGATACCAGAATATATTATAAAAATTGAAGATAAGTATCAGCATCTACAATAACTAGCGATATACTCCAGGTGAGACATATACTCCTGATGTTGGTTTTGAGTTTAAAAGCAGTTTGAAAAGTTCACAAAATACTTCTCATATAAAACGTGGACCATATAGTCGAAGATACAAAGCTCCAAACTATGCCTTAATATGCGACAGATTTGCAATCTCTGATAGAGTTGGTTCTGCCGTGGTGACAGCAATCCTGAAAGACCTGGACATAAAGGATGATTGGGGCAATCCTGTCATTATGGATAAAAATAAAAGCGTTCGTGAGAGGCAGAAAAATAGGCAAGCTCTACTCAAACGATATGATTCTTCTGAATTAATAGCATTTTCATTCGACGGCCGAAAAAATGATTCTATTACCATGGAAAAAATCGATAAGAAGTTTCACCCACGAATGATTAAAGAAGCGCATTTAGTTATTTTAAAGGAACCGAATTGCCAATTGTTGGGTTACACAAAATTGGAAAATGAAGATTCGGAAAGTAAAGTAATCAAATTGAACGAGTTTTTTCGCCGATAAAGGAATAGCTCTCGATTCTTTGATAGGCATATGTTGCGATGGTGAACCAGCAAATACAGGCGTAAAAAATGGGATTTTACGTCGATTTGAAATTCAGTTAAATAGGCCTCTTCATTGGTTTGTGTGTCTTCTCCACTTTAACGAACTTCCACTTCGGCATTTATTTAACTATTTGGAAAAATCATTGACCACTGGACCACGAACAAAAACCGGAATATTAAGCAAACAAATTGAAACATGCGAAAATATACCGGTGAGTTATAACATATTTACTATTTGTTAATACTTTATGTTCAAATTCAATATAATTTATTTTTTCTTATTCCTTCCAGCCGGTAACAGACTTTGAAACGATCCCACTTGAAAATTTGGCTGATTTAAGTCCTGTTGAATCGACAACTGACTCAAGTTATTTAATAAAAATAGCTAAAGCAGTTGCTTCTGGAGAAGTATCGACAGACTTAGCTAACAAGAAACCGGGGCCAATAGCACATTCCCGATGGCTCACAAAGGCTAGTAGGTTACTTCGGTTATATGTAACTACTAATAAGCCATCCAAAAATTTGAAAATTCTGGCAAACTACGTGATGAAAGTATATATTCCAATGTACTTTAACATTAAATATTACAACTCTGTGGTGTACGGTAGTATATTATTTTATAAATTTATTAGCTGGACGCAATATTTAGACTCGAATTTAAGACAAATTGTGAACAATGTTGCTAAAGAAAACGCGTACTATGCTCACTCGGAAAATATTTTATTAGCAATGTTGTTCGATAATAAAAAGGAAATACGAGATTCAGCTATAAGAAAAATCTTATATTACCGTAATAATGTGGAAGACCTGACGCAATTGAGAGATTACAAAACACCCGAAATAAATTTCGAATGCACCGACTATACTAATATGATAGATATGACGATTATTCAAATATATTCGAACCAGCCTTCACGCTAAATATACCTCATGAACATCTAGTACAATATCTACAAAGCAATGAGTGCCCATGGAGTGACCCTAAAATTCCCGTCCACATTCAGGGAACTGAGAGACATGTTCAATTACTGGCTAACGTATCAAAACGCGTATTAGAGCGAAATCGCGATGGAGTTATGACTGCAACACTACAATCTCGTAAAAAGCATCCTCGACTGGAAAGCAAGCAAGATTTCAGATATTAGTTTTTGTAATTGTATTAGCTAAATGTAAGAAATTTTATTTTAAATAAAAATATAACTTAAAGAAATAAAAATGTGTTATTTAAAACCATGACATGTAATAAATAATATAATAAATATATGTTATTCCTAAAAACCCAAAAACAATATTTTTCTACAAAAGAAGTTGACCTGTTTCGATGCAAGATTCTAGGTTACGCTTTCTCGCGTTTTCACTAGTTTTTATCGATTTTCTCCGAAACGGTAAAAGATACGAAAAAACTTTGTTCGTACGAAAGATGCAGAATAAAATTATGAATAAAATGGTATATGAATGGTTAAGTGTGTTCATATAATTTTCTCGAGATTTTCCGATTTTCCTGAAATTTTACGACGGCAACTCGCCTGTAGGCCACACCGTTCGGAATTCGAAGTTGCGATATATGGGAAAAAAACTAAGAATTTTGAGACTTTCTAACGATATATAATACTTTATATGTTTTCTTTACAGAAATATCGAATCGTGAAGAGTATTGCTCCAACCTAGCCACACTTTGCATTTTGACAAGTTAACATCTACACATATTGCTCTATAACATGAAAACCGTAAAAGATACGAAAAAACTTTGTTCGTACGAAAGATGCAGAATAAAATTACGAATAAAATGATATATAAATGGTTAAGTGTGTTCATATAATTTTTTCGAGATTTTCTAATTTTCTTTGCTAAGAACAAAATTTCAAGTCAGTTATCTCTATGGCAACTTTTCGGACACATCGCGCTTCAAGTCAGTTATCCCTATGGTAACTTTTCGGATACATCGCGCTTCAAGTCAGTTATCCCTATGGTAACTTTTCGGATACATCGCGCTTCAAGTCAGTTATCCCTATGGTAACTTTTCGGATACATCGCGCTTCAAGTCAGTTATCTCTATGGCAACTTTTCGGATGTTTTGCGAAATAATATGTATAAATACTGAATATTTTGTTATAAAAGATTTGAAATATTTGTAGATTGAAAGTTATTACTGTTTAGAGTATGGATACAAAATTAAATGAAATATCAACTTGCACGTATTTTGGTACATTGACAACAACTTTCACGTATTTACTAATTGTCAACTTGCACGTATTTTTACATAATTTTCAACTTGCACGTATTCAAAAAGCCGAGAAATGTTCTT